GAAGGATTAGTGTGTCTACAGCTATGCTTAGGTATGATCATTTTATCTTTTCTGCTGCATGAGGTTTCTTCACTTAAAAGATTTTACAAAATACCTCTAAAAATGTTTTAAACAATTAAAAACAAAGTATTTTGACAAAAGCTTTCTTAAACAAGTTTTTAACGGATACAGTATTGAAATAACCGATTAAAATCACTCAAAATGTTAAGAGAAATGTTTTTACAATATTTTAATCAATACAACTTGATTTTAATCGATTAAAACCACTTGGGGCTCAGGATGATCGATCAGAATGAAATTATGACCGATCATAATCAGTTATGATCGATCAGAATTGAGTTATGACCGATCAGAACTCTTTTAATCGATTAAATCTCGTTTCAATCGATTAAAACAACTTAGAAATTTTCTACACAGCGTTTTAAGCGATTAAAACTTATTTTTATCAGTTAAAATAACTTGAAAAGTTTTACAAGAAAGTTTTGCAGTATTTCAATCGATTGAATCGCGAAACAATCGATTAAATCAACTTAGAAGATTTTTTGTAAAGTGTTTTAATTGATATAAACGTTGTCGTATCAGTTAAAACAAATCTGTTAAAGAATCAAGAACGTATTAATGGATTAAAAGAAGTTTTAACAGATTAAAACTGCACTTTTAACAGATTAAAAGAATCTTTTAACAGATTAATTAAAACAACAGTTTTGAAAATCTTCTATAAAAACAGTTTGACTTGAACTTTTTTAACACACATTGAATATCAGTTTTTACACATCCTTGAGCAATCAATCAAGCAAACTTTAGCACTCTTTTCAAGAAAGATTCGCGTCAGTTTTTGAGAAGTTATTTGAAAATCTTTCTTGAGGCAACTTGATTTCTTTTGAAGAAGAAACACTTACAGCAGAATTGCATAAACTGGTTTGAGCATTCTAGTTTCTTCTTTTTCATTTCTTTACATTCTTTTTGTATTGTTTGGTGCTTGGAATTTGGGCACTGGTTTCTCTGCAGCTGGAATTTGGTTGTAGAGGTTGTCAAGAACTGAAATTTGGTTCTTGGTGAAAGGTTAGGTGTTGGTGCCTGGAATTTGGGCACTGGTTTCTCTGCAGCTGGAATTTGGTTGTAGAGGTTATCAAGAACTGGAATTTGGTTCTTGGTGAGAGGTTGAGTGCAGGAACTGAAATTTGGTTCTTGTGGTAGATTAAGTGTAAGATTGTAAATCTGTAAAACATTTGATCTAGTGGAACCCAACTGGAATTTGACTGGAGACTGGACGTAGCCCTAGTATTGGGTGAACCAGTATAAAACACCGGTGATATCTTTCTTAACCTTTCTCTCCTTTAATTCTGTCGTTGCGCTTATATTTGATTGATTGCTTTGTGATTCAAGAACATATCTGAAATCTTAATTTTTGAATTAGATAATCTGTTATTTGCGAAAAACTTTTAAAGATCAATTCACCCCCCCCCCCCTCTTGATCTTAGCCTATTTTTCTAACAAAGTTCGGAACCTCCACAAGGCATTGTTGATGAACCCCTTACTCAAGATGATTTGGTTGTTCATGAAGAACAAACTCAAGATCCTCAAGAACCTGTGCATCATGAGCTAATAACTTTGTAGAGATCCACTAGAGAAAGAAGAAGTGCTATTTTGGATGATTACATGGTATTTCTTTAGGAACATGAGGAAAATAATGATACAATGGAAGATGACCCAATTAATTTTTGTCAAGCTATACAAGGTTCTAACTCTCAAAAGTGGATTGAAGCAATGAAGGAGAAGTATAAGTCCATGCAAGACAATAAGGTTTGAGAACTTGTCCCATTACCAGAAGGTATGAAACTCATTTGGTTTCAAGATGAATATTGTTGATGATTGTATGTATCACAAGTTTAAAGGGAGACAAGTTTAGTCTCAATCAGTGCCCAAAGGGAATTTGGAAATTGAGGAAATGCAAAAGATTCCATATGCATCAGTTGTAGGGAGTTTGATCTATGCCCAAGTATGTATGCATCCAGACATAACATATATAGTTGGGGTTCTAGGTAGATATTTAAGCAATCCAGGAATAGACCATTGAAAAGCAGCAAAAAGAGTCATAAGATATTTAAAGAGAACAAAAGATTATATGCTCACATATAGGAGGTCAGACCAGTTGGAGATCGCTGGGTTTTCTGACTGAGATTTTGTAGGATGTCAAGAATTTGTAACATGCTATGAGGCATCAAATCATGGAATATGGCTGAGAAATTTTATCACAGGGCTGCAAATTGTGAAAGGTATTGAAAGACCACTTAAGTTATATTGTGACAATAAATCAGCTTTATTGTTAAGGAAAGAGTACAAAGTGAACAGATTTTCATAGAACATTTAAGGACTTCCGCCCAAGATCTTTCATGAGCATGTTGCTCACATGGGTGTTTTAGAGTTTGAGGAATTTGTGGTTTAGTGGGAGTTAGTCACTTTCATATATTTTATGTTCTATGTTTAATTTCATATATGTATACATTGATTTTTGGACATATTTGGTTATCTATAGATATGCGATTTTTTCGTTCATTCATTACACTTTGTACATTAAGGATATTATATCGATCTCGATAAGTTAAAGTTTGGACCAGTTGAAAATAGACGTGTATAGATCACCTTCACGTAATTTTTCATGCTACACATTTCATGATGAATCCATGTCATTTGGTTATGTTAGGATGAGTAATCATTGTTGGTTTTAGTTGCGATGATGCAATGAAAAACTGGTTTGGTTCTATATCCTGATATGATTAATGGACAAGACTTTTGGAGTATGCTAAAGGAATATAATGGCAATTTTGAGCTCATAAAGTCTAACACATTTGTAAGGTTGTAAGGACATATATATTTGTGACCAGTGGGAGATTGTTAGCAAAATTTGGGTCATGTATATATATGATATATAATTTAAATGTGTTAGGGTCATTATTTATTAAGGCAAATAATAAAGTGGTCTGACTAAATTAAAGTTTTGGCTAAAAGCATATGTCATGAAAATAAAATTGTGTAGAGACCATTGAGCAATTTCTAATTTGATGAGGGGCCAAATTGGAAATATTAAAAATTAAGTAATTAACCTAATTCTGGTTATCTAAAGGGTCATGGTCCCCTTCTGGGAGCACACACACAGAACATAAGTATCAGTCCCGTTTCTTTCTTTCTATCCCCATCAAGAGAGAAAATCAAGAGGGAAATACAGGTGCTCTTCAGGTGGAACTACAAAGACATCATTGTTATGACTAATTCAGTGTACGTCTTCGCATTCAGTTTACAGCATGTTTATTAGTATGAGATTATGTTTATGTTTGATCGTTAGAATCAAAATCAAGATTATTATTATTATTATTATTATTATTATTATTATTATTATTATTATTATTATTATTATTATTATTATTATTAATTTTCCAACAGTTAAAACCATAGCAACAATCCATACATCAAATTTAACCATGACAATGCATACATCAAATCCATATAGTTGGAGTTAGCTTCAAAGGTGGTTTATAATGATTCTGTTCAAAAAAGTTGCACAAGATTCCTACTTCACAATATATGAAGGCAACTTGAATGATTTAATGATCTTATTTCGAACATCTATCCAAAACAACCACCATTCTTTAAATCAAAATAATATACCAAAAATGCAATATGAAGTAGCTTTCATTAAAAATACTAAATCATAAAAAGAATTTCACATACTATTGTTCAATTTACGTATTTATTAGAAAAGCATGAATTTTCATAAAAAAAAAATCTTTCTATACCTAAATTTCATTTGTAAAACTATTGCAAGATTTATAACTCATTAGATATATAATTTTGAGCGGTTCATGGTACTCTTGAACTGAAGTGGAAACCAAATTTGATCAAGGTACACATTATTATTACAATTTCTTTATTATAAGATGCTTTTGCTTTTGCTTTTGCTTTCGCTCAAGTTGGCAACTGGCAAAAGGTGGTCCATGTTTTTGGTCTCCAAGCATTATAAAAACGTTTAGGATAAGGGAAATCGCGACGAATATGCTATTTTGCATGTCCATGCTATGATTGAGTCAAATAACATAATTGTGTGGAAGAGAAAGAAACACCTATGCTTGCAACTTGCCACTGAACGACTTAAAGTTGGAATATTTATAGGGCACCTTGGAATTAATTCTTTGTGTTATTGAGTATTCGAATTGGAATTTTCACACTTTCGGTTGTTGTTGCATGATTCAATATTATCTAGCATGACCAATCCACACTATCAAAAACTTTATCTATTGCATGTTGGACATACCCACTTGAACAAAAAGACAAAGAAAAGGTCAAAACCCAACTTCATCATATCTTGGAAACTCGTGGAAGTTCTTTCATTAGAGGAGGAACTGGAAGGCTTGGTTTGGTTGCTCAAAAAGGAAGATGACATAGGTATGAAGGCCCTGATATATGCTTAAGTGTACGATACAAATTAAACCAGGCCACATAACCTCTGTAATTTCTGATTTGGTAAACTATATGTGATCATATCAATCAAGTTGCCACCCACTCTCTTAAATTAAAATAATACCAAAATATGCATAAGTTGGATTGTTGAAATTTAATTTCTTTCTAGAAACATTCAGTAAAATAGTCCTATCTAGAATTACCCTTAGAAAATTTCTCTTTTCTCTCTATATATATAGATCTAAGCGTAAAGCTAACAAACTTTTTGGGGTATGCATCCTTGTTTTCTTGTACATGATAAAACATATTTATTATTATGCAAGGAGAGCAGCAAAAGTACTCTCTAAAAGATTACAACATGCAGTTTATAATTGCCCTCCGTTTACAAACATAATCCTGTTCGAGGATTTTGTATCAACTCCAATAATCAAATTTGCATGTATATACAGTACCAAGGGTGTTACCCATCTCTTATTTGAATAACTGATCTTTGAATAGATAAAAGTAAGATACTTCCACACAACATATTTCCCAAAAACACGAGTTTAAAAATTACAATCTATGAAGATTATAGAATTATTTAGAGAACCTGAAGTGTATCCACTTGCATTGATAAGGCCTTTGTTGTATTGCTCCTTGATACTGCTCGAGAAAGCATGATTGGCAATTTGACCTACTATGTCATGGCCCTTCTGGTGACTTGGTTGAGCTTTCAAAGATGAATTGGATTCTCCACTTTTGGCACCACCACTGCCACTAGCCTTTGCTGCGTTGCAATGAGAACACGCATTACGCGACCAAATACCGGTTTTTCGCGTTTTGACAAGGACCTTACGTAACTCGTCACTGGGATGGTTGAAAGGACCCTCCACTTCGACAACAAAACAGTTTTTACTGCGATGGATTTTGGCCTCAACAGAAAGAGCAACATCTTTGGTGACATAATAGTGTGCCATATTCACCATGTAGGCAGAATCAGTTTTAACCTTTTTCTTCATTTGTAAAACAAAAAGACCCTCTCTGAAGGAACAACCATATGGAACAATGGTTGTCTCTATTGTGTGATCTGGTTTGGCCCGTGTGAAAGAGCTTGGGGCATTACAAGAATCGATGCCACTTATCCCTCCTCGGAGACCATCACGAGCAACCCTAGTGATTTTGAAGGCGAATTCCGTTTTGTTGTTAGCAAAGTCGCCTAATCCGAAATGTATACTCTCAACACCGTTGTTGTCACGGATTGCCTTGAGATGAAAACCACAAGTGTTCTTTTTCTGACCTGTTTTGTACGTCACACCCCAAACGTCTGTGTGGTCATTTTCTTTGTTATGACCCATGGAAACTTCAAACGAGTCTCCCCAACGTGCTATGGTACCTGTGGCACCGGCATCATAAGAAGTACATTCTTTTCCAAGGTTAGTGTGACTACTGTGACCAGTTCCCATGGTGTCTATTAGTACGACTATGTGGCTAAATTTGGATAAAGAAGCTTATAGCAGAGCCATACCCCCCAGTATGTGGAATGAGTCTGAATATGTTGCTGGCTACATAATATATCATGCACATATTTATGTATGTATATGTATATATATATATATATATATATATATATATATATATATATATATATATATATATATATATATATTCACAAATACTACCTCTTTTATATAATTTAATTTTTTTTTTTGCTTGTCTTATTACAAATAAAATTAGTTTAAGGTATTATCATATATTCATTACACATTGATACTTTATATGTGAAATGAACTAAAAAATAATATGCATTTATATTCATAAATATATAATACATTAGTACGAGTTATAGTTAATATAAAAATAGTTTTTATTTATATATTCAATTACAAATAAAAAGAACACATTAAATGCCATAAATTGTAAGTTAATTATAATTAAAAATTAGTAAATATTATAGTTAAAAATAAAAAATTTGTTTTCTTTTTTTAAAACTTTAGATGGCGGCATAAGTAAAAAAAACCTAGAGCGGCATTATATTTATATATTATGAGTGAAAGAAGGTTGCTTTTAATTTTGTAATTAACATGAGTTTGGCATCATTATAGGAAATGAGATTGAAGAATATGATGCCCATGAATAATTGAATGGTTGGGGGTTCTTGGCTTTTCTACGTCGTTGAAAATGAATAATCAGAATAGAATCATGGAAACCAAACACTTAATGACTAGGGTATTGCATCAATCCTCTCCTCAACTCTTCAAATTAAAAGCATCTACCAATTATACAAACTTTTCACAAACCCTTTCTATTATTCCTCATGTGTATCTAGTTAGGGAATAAATCCTCTTTACAGAGTTTTTTTATTTGGATCTAGTGAAATTCATCAAAATCTTATAATATTTTTTTATTATCCTTTAAATTCTCTCGTTTTCTCCTTGAACTGATATTTTATTGGGAAGTAATGTTGCACGAGAGAAACCAAACTTTTGTCTCTATGTTTAAGCTTTTAATTTGTATTTATTTAATTGTAATTATATGTACGTAGCATTAAACTTAAACTACACAAAATATTTTAACTCTTTACTAATTATAACTCTTTTGCCACATACTTTTAAAAAATTCGTAGGCAACGTTAAATCTTAAAAGATTATAAAGTTCTTACATGACGTATTTCATTTACAAAACTCAACTTTAAGATTTTACTTAACGAGAACATCTTAGGAGAAACATATGTCAAGTAATTTAGACGCAAAGGTGGCTAAACTTCATATTATATATAAGGATGATTCTAATCTTTACTTTATCAAACTACACTTTATTTCTTAACAAAAGAAAATGTGATTTGGTTATTTTTTTTTTTTTTAGCATTGGTTATAGAGTTACAAACAGCATTAGTTATTTTACAAAAGTTTCAGCGATTAATTTTAAAGAATTATTTCTATAATAATTCTAATTTAAAAACTATTTTAGATAAAAGAAATATGACATCAATGATAATAAATAAAATGTATCTATTATTAATAAAAAACAGTAAAAATAAACAGAAAACATTTTTTTTCATATTTTTAGTTTTTTTTTTTAAGTTTTTTATAAATGATATACTATTCACGAGTTCTATGTTTCGCAAGACTCGATAGTACGTGAGGTCAGTTGTGTGGACTTCAATGTTGAAGTTAATATTTGTCAAATAAAGAAGTGAAAACAAGATTGAAGTCATATATATTTCCTACTATAAAATGACATTTACAAGTTTTTTTATTTTAATTTTTGTTGGAAAGAGACAAAAGGTATATGTTATCCAGAAGGACAATTATCCTTAGGTTGAAGGATATAGGGTTTAAGGTTCCCCTAAAGATCCTTGGAGGATTCTTCATTCTTAGACTGCGTGGCTCTACTTTGAAGGTATTGAGGGTGAGGAAGAAGGAATTGGTCGAAATCTAGAATAGTTTCTACCTAACAATAATATGAGGTGTCGTCTTGGTGTTACATGTCTAATGTTGGAGGGTTCTTGTGATGGAAGGCTAGGCTACCAATTACCAGGGGACAACTTAGTCTAATAGCATGAAAGGAAAATTAATGCTTAATAGGGATAACTAAACTCTAATTGATTTTACATTGAGAAAGGAAAACTAATACGAAATTTTGTGAGAGAGAAAACTTGATATTTGTAGTAATTTTGGATCAGATAAAATGCAGAAAGTTTAGGTTTTACGTTCATTATAGAAAGTAACACATCCTCTTATTAAATTACACATGCTTTAAGGTTGAATTAGACAAGTTATATAAAAAATATAATTATATGAAAGATAATACATGTAATAAATGGTACATAAAATAGATATAACAGGTAATATAATCACAATAATATATATATATATATATATATATATATATATATATATATATATATATATATATTTGGTTAGATCAATCACTATTTTCGTGGTAATCTTATCAGACCCATTATTATTATTATTATTATTATTATTATTATTATTATTATTATTATTATTATTATTATTATTATTATTATTATTATTATTATCAGTAGTAGTAGTAGCAGCAGCAGTAGGAGAGGAGATGATATTAGTATTATTAATATCAATTGTGAAATAAACTTAAAGAGATTAAAGAAAATAATCATATGGAAAAAAAATTTAAAGAGAATGTACATAGACGAAAAAGTTAAAGTTATAAAATAAAATAAAAATGGAAAAAGAGGAAGGAAGATGGGAAACTTCCACAAATTTTACTTAAACAGTGTCCTAAATAATACGAAATGCCTTGGAAAATGGAAAGAACTGGCAAGAACTCAATATTAGTTGTATAATTGCAACAATGATGAAAAAAAAAATAAAAATAAAGATGAGAATGGAAGACGAGGAAAATAAAACAAATTAAAAATGATACATAGTTAAAGCCACAAACTGAAAAATGATAAATGTTCAGCAACGAAAACTTGAGCAAGGGAATTCGTGTGGAGCTGGGGCAAAGAAGGGAAAAAGATAGTGTGGGTAAAATGACAAAAAATCTGTAGAAGAAAGGAAGTGGCAAAAAAAGGGTAGGGTGGATTAGGGGTGAAGGACATTCAAAGGTTTAACGGCTCCTTGCTAGCAAAATAGAAATGGAGGTTAGGAGTTGAGTCAAAAGGACTATGGAAGGAAGTGGTGGAAATCAAATACAAGTCTTGGAGAGCACTAGACGAACCGAAAAACATTAATAAGAACTCAAAATAGTGGCAAGATATAAAAAGAATATGTAAGGTTGACGATGATAGAGTTTGGTTTGATAAACATATGACATGGAAGATAGGAAATGGAGAGAAAATTAGGTTTTAGGACGATGTGTGGATTGGGGAACAAAGTTTAGGTAGTTTGTTACCAAGGTTAAAGCAAATAGGACTAAGCAAAGATGCGGTGTTATAAGAACATGGCGAGTGGATTGAAAATAAATGAGAATGAAGAGTAAGTTGGAGAAGATAATGTTTTGAATGGGAGAAAGAAATGGAGGAGAAAATGCTAAGCAAAATTCAGGGCATAACCCTTAACATGAATATAGAAGATATGTGGTTGTGGGGACCAAATAATAATAATAAAGGATTCTTCGTAAAAGAAACATATGAGACTCTATCCAAAATAAATTGCAACGAGAACGAAGCGATCTTCAAATGGTATTGGAAAATTAAGGCGGTATCAAAAGTCATGGTCACATGGTGGAAAATTCTTCAGAATAGGATCCATACTAAGGTGAACTTAGTTAAGAGAGGGGTTGTTGTAAGTGATTCAAAATGTGTTATGTGTGGAATTGAAGACAAAACAACCAAGCATCTCTTTTTCACATGTAAGGTGACCAGTGAAATTTGGGACACGTGCTTTAGATGGGTGAGAATTAGTTTTGTTAGTCACTGCGAGGCGAAAACAAGCCTGGAAAGCTTTGCAGTAGGTTGTTTGGGAGCAAAGAGAAATATGTTGTGGAAAAGATTCTGGGTAGCGGTAGTATATGAAATCTGGTCTCAAAGGAACAAATGTATCTTCAAAAATGATAATTTTGATGCGGAAGTAGGATTCAGTAAAGCGAGTATCAAATTCATAACTTGGTACGCTAGAGACTGGGATGGAGCGAGCATAACAAATTCCGATTGGGTTTATGAACCAATAAGATGTTTGAGGTTAATTGCTTTATAACTTTTCACTTGTCTTTGTTGGCTGGTATATGTTTTAGCAGGTTAATGAAAGAAAGTCTACTATAAAGACAAGAATCCTTACAAGTAGACGGAGGGTGGAAGCATCCGAGGTTGTATGACCTGATTATGGTCCTTGTGTAATATATATTGTCGTGTTCGAGAGAAACAAAGATCCGCTATAATCTATATTAACGTGGAACCCTCGTCTTGTCCTGAGCCATGAATTAGAAGTTGCTAAACCCTTATCTCTCAAGAGGCTTAGCGGTTTTTCAGCTGTGATTATTTCACCCCTTTTGATTAGTATGTTAAGGTAATCAATTCTTAATGCGAGCCAATTGGTATTGGTCTATGCGGAAGAAATTCAAATAATTTAATACATATTAGTTGATCCTATATGAGAGGTTTTGTTGGTTTCGAAGAAAACTTAAATCTTGGGGGCGACATACTATGTGGGGTCTCTTTGATGGAGAGTATTTTTTTGATATTTATATATATTCTCTCATTGTATCTTGAAACTTGTCAGGTGTAAGTTTTATCTTTGTTATGTTGGGATTGTTTCTGAAACTATTTTCTTTTTGCCTTGCTGGTATTCTTAGGCTTTTGTGATTTGCTCAACTTTTTTTTTGTAGGCTAGTTTGGGATTTAGTAGACTATTTTGTTTTTTTTCATCTAATTTCTTTTTGATGTATACGGATTGAACTACCCCTCTACTTCTATTAATTTTATTCTATTAATTTTATTCTTTGAGGTGTAAAATTTTTTTTTGAAAATCGGACGTGCCCAATTGAATTGGAATACTAGTCTTGTGAGTGATTCAAATAAATCATATCACTAAGAAGAACCAGTCAAATAATTAGAAAACTGATAAAAAAAAACTGATAATATATGGGTCAACGAAAATACTTAGTTCAACATTATTTTGTCTTTCCTTTAAAAGAATCAATCTAATTTTTTTTTATTCAAATATATAAATTTATTTATTACTAAATATATATATATATATATATATATATATATATATAATTATAAATATAATAATATATTTGATTCTAAATTTATATTATTTAAATGTATGAAAATGTTTAATTTGTAGTTTCTAGCATTATAAAATTATGATAAATAACTTTTTGATATTATTTATTAATACTGATGACTCAATCTTAAATCAATATATTAACGACGGGTATGATTTTGAAAAGATTGAAAAACCAACTTTCAGTTTAAAAATAAAAACACTACAAGTATGCTAATAATCATGTTGCGAGGATGACTATTAGGTTATCTGATTTGTTTGTATAATGTTTATAGTAAACAAGTGTTTAGTACAACATGGAAGGTCTCTTATGAACCTTCACCATTACATAATATTTAGGTTTAGGAAACACTGGAAAACCATTACATTTATAATAGAGTAAGAGCTAGGGCTCTACTTTTATTATTGGCAATACATGAACATAGTAGGTCATATTGCGCAGCGCATATGAAATAGAGATAGCTAATAGTAGTAGTTACTTGTGGAGGAGTTAAAGCCACCGTTGCCATTGCCAATGAAAGTACCACTGTTATTTATAGTGCGACCACCATAGTTGTTTGAGGTGTTATACGTGTTCTGATCACCTGCATATGCGCCACTGTTGATCTTTGAGTTGGAGAAATTCTGATTCCCACTTCCATGGTTGTTAAACGAGTCTGCAGTAGCATCGTTGCACACTTTGGCCCCAGGGTTGACATTTGCATCGGAGAAATTATGGTTCCCGGGGACATGCTTAGTACCATCGTTGCACCCACTATTGATATTTGCATGGTCTGAAGTACCATCGTTGTACCCTTTCGCTTCTTGCCGGGCCTTCATAAATTCAAAAGTGGGTTCTATATTATGATTTGACATATTTTACTGCTAAATTTCTCTATACCTTGTTTTGGTATTGGACTGCCTTAATGTTACCAACAACTAAGCCAGCAATATATAGATGCAAGAAATCGAATCTAAATCTTTTGCTAGATTACAGAAATCTATGTTAATGATATTCTAATATTAATCTATATTTAATTTGGTTGGATAGGTGTTTTGCAGTATATATCCATTTTTTATGGGACACCATAATCCAGGTTGTATGTACTGATCTTCAAATGTGTGGGATTCAAAAGTTTTGAAGTTTTATTCTTGTATACAGATAAAGAAGAGAAAAGCTTAGTAATTCTGATACACATCCCAGCATAATATATAAGTAATCTATTAGACTAAAAGTATAGTATGCTATTCATTGTAGAATTTTAGTCTTATGAAAAAGAGTATTATGATCATGTTTTATATACAAGGGAAATATTTCCACAACTTGGTCCACATTATTTCTTTTTACATTCAAATTTTTCATCTTACAAATCTCATCACTTGCTTTGATTAAGTTCACTGGCCACTAGCCATTCCTAGATGCACATAATTAAACCAAAAATCTTGGAGCATATATTCACTAATCCACCACCAGTAAGGAATAATCGCATCATTGATATTATATTGTTAGTGTATGCAAATCACAAGTAATTTAATCTAACAACTCTAAATATGATAAATTAGATGGATTATATGAATCATTAATTTACAATTAAAATAATTAATGAATTATTGTACTATTTTAACTTACCATGTTATAATTTTTATATGTGACATCATTAGTATCATAATTATCACCTTTATTTTTATCATGATGATTATAATTTTATATATGATTGTTATAATTAAAACTCTAACTTTGTGTCTTCTAAAAATTTCTGCAACTGCTACCACTATAAGCTTAAAATATCCAAAATCTTGAACTTGAGAGATAAGTTGCACTGATCTTTGTTGCCGAATGGTGTTATATCATTTTGGCTTCCACAAATAAACTTGACCACTCGCTAGATGATCCTTATTAAGTTCGTAGCCTGCAGATACCTTCTCTAGAACTAACAAGCAAATAGTTTCTGCATATAATGCAGGCTAGCTCATAAATGAATAGTCTAATGCATTATTGGTCTTTCGTTTTCAACTGTAGTTAGTAATGATAAATGAAAAGTCTACGTACTTATAATTCTTTCGCATATTAAAAAAGTTTGTGTTTTTTATAAAAATAGCTTCGTTATGGTTCTGTTAAAAAAACATTATATTTGATGAGAATCATGACTCCCGATGGATTCGGTAAGATTGAAAGATACTGCCCTGATAAGGATATAGTTTTGGGATTGAATTAAAAAAAAAAAAAGTCTAAATTTGAAACGTTTAAATTTATCTTTTCAACCTAAGTATACAAGGGTCTCAAATTAAATAATTTTTTTCATATTAAAATATTAGTATTTCTTTACTAAATATCGTTATCATTTGTTATTCCTTATTAGATCATAAGTTAAGAAAATTATTTGCACCATCCGTTTCAATATTTTTATCATCTATTATGTGGTTTTTCCTTTCACTTAGGAATCCTATCTTACAAAATAAATATTTATAGAATTTCGTATGGTCGCGATGTTTTTTTTTTTTTTTTCCGACACCAAGAATTTTCCATGTTGCAAACTTAGGGAACATTATATGTTTCCTCAGCTTCTGTAATTATTTTCAATGTCCATATATATTACATTGCCATTTTAGAGCAAAACAGTATAATATTACTGATAATAAAAAATAATTACACCAAAAGTCTTGAAGAATATATTCATCATCTAGTGCTGCAACAACTAACAATCCACTCAAGGTGCTTTGTGTTAATTCTTCTTCAGTTTGCTTCCGTCATAGGAGTTACGTAATAAGCAACAACGAATGATTATTATAGAACCTTCGATTTGGAGACACGATATCTTTTTATTCTGCATTGACAATAAACAATGATTTATATATTAAGTTAAAATCTTGTTATAATGGTATTGAATTTTATAATTACAAAAATAAGTCACCAAGATTTATTTAATGTTTTTAAATATTCAGAGCAGATTAACTGAAACCCCTTTATATTTCATTCATGTTATGTCCCACACCTTCCATTTTTTTCATTAAAAAAACTCCTTTATTGTAAAAGATTTTTTTATGACACGAATAACCCTTCATTGTACTGTCTAAGGGCACGTAAAAGCTAATAAATAAAAAGGAGAAGGACATGGTAATCCAAAATTACTCCCTTTATTTTTAAATATATATTATATAGGATTAGACTATTTAAATCAAATATTAATTTTCATTATTTCTAATAAATTTATTAATCTTTTTTCATCTAAAATAATTTTAATAATTTATTATCTGATGAAAATAAATATACAATTAGAAAAATATATTTCGATTACTTTTTCAAAAAATCGATAATTATTTAAAAAGAGAAATTCGAAAGACAAATGTGGAAAATAGACTTATCGTCAAATGGAAACAACAAAAGACTAAAGTCAAACTAATATGCATATATTCGACAGGACAAATACAGAAAAGATTTTTATTAACGAGTGACATTACTTTATACGTCTTCCTTATTTATTTTTATCTAATGTTAACTTTATCTTCACATTTGAGTTTCAATAATTTATCCTCAAATATGATTCTTTTTACATCTTATATATTCTCTCTTGAGGGTAAGCATTTTCATAGGACAACACTTTAAGTTTAACTATGAACAATAATAATATGGGTTTTTCTATATTTTTTCCGTAAATAAATAGGAGTGATGATTCGTTTGTTTATAAATATTTTCGTTATTCCACTACGTTGATTATGACATTTTTGAAAAGTTGCATTTCAAACTTCAGAGGATAAAAATATTTATGTTTTGAAAATCGGGTCAGCCCGATTAAATTAGGATACTACTTTAAAGAAGAACCAGTCAACAATAATTAGAAAACTCATGAAAGATGAAAAAACCGATAATATTTGGGTCAACGAATTACTTAGTTCAACATTATTTTAAGTCTTTTCTTTCAAAAAATCAATCTAAAATATTTTCTATTTTCGATTCATCATATAAATTTATTATTTATTAATAAATATTGATGTATATACAATCTAAATATAATAGTATATTTGATTCAAAACTTTATATTATTTAAATATATGAAACTGTTTTATTTATAGATTCTAGCATTATAAAGTTACGATTATATTTTTTTAGTATTATTTATTTATTTATTAATACTGATTACTTAATCTTAAATCAATATATTAACTAGTTTAACAACGGTTACGATTTTGAAAAGATTGAGAAACCAACTTTCCAGTTTATAAATAAAAACATTACAACTATGCTAATAATTATGTTGGTAATTTGTTTGTATAACTTTTATAATAAAGAAGTGTTTAGTACAACATGGAAGGTCTCTTATGTTATGAACCTCCACCATTACAACATTTTTAGGTTTAAGAAACACTGGAAAACCATGACATTTATGATAGGGTAGTAGAGCTAGGGCTACTTTTATTACTGGCAATGCACATCTGGTAACATAGTAGGTCATATTGCGCAGCGCATATGAAATAGAGATAGCTAATAGTAGTAGTTACTTGTGGAGGAGTTAAAGCCACCCTTGATAAAGCCACCGTTGCCATTGCCATTGAAAGTACCACTGTTATTTATAGTGCTACCACCATAGTGGTTTGAGGTGTTATACCTGTTCCGATCAACTAAATGCCCTGTTGATCTTTACATTGGAGAAATTCTGGTTACCACTGCCATAGTTGTTAACCGAGTATGTATTGTTGGAAAATTAATAATAATAATAATAATAATAATAATAATAATAATAATAATAATAATAATAATAATAATAATAATAATAATAATATTCTTAATTTTGATTCTAACGATCAAACATAAACGTAATCTTATACTTGATAAACATGTTGTAAACTGAATGCGAAAGCATACTCGAATTAATCATAATGATGATGTCTTTGTAGAAGCACTATATTGATCTTATGGTCTTCTACCTAAAGAGTACCTGTATTTCCCTCTTGATTTTCTCTCTTGATGGGGATAGAAAGAAAGGAACGGGACTGATACTTACGTTCTGTGTGTGCTCCCAGAAAGGGACCATGACCCTTTAGATAACCAGAAGGTTAATTACTTAAGTTTTAGTATTTCCAATTTGACCCCTCATCAAATTAGAAATTGTTCTATGGTCTCTACACAATTTTATTTTCATGACATATGCCTTTAGCCAAAACTTTAATTTAGTCAGATCACTTTATTATTTGGCTTAATAAATAATGGCTCTAACACATTTAAATTATGTATCATATATATACATGACCCAAATTTTGCCAACAATCTCCCATTGGTCACAAATATATATGTCCTTACAACCTTACAAATGTGTTAGACTTTATGAGCTCAAAATTGTTATTATATTCATTTAGCATACTCCAAAAGTCCTGTCCATTAATCATATCAGGATATAGAACCAAATCAACTTTTCATTGCATCATCGCAATTAAAACCAACAATGATTATTCATCCTAACATAACCAAATGACATGAATTCATCATGAAATGTGTAGCATGAAAAATTATCTGAAGGTGATTTGTACACGTCTATTTTCAACTAGTCCAAACTTTAACTTATTGAGATCGATATAATATCCTTAATGTACAAAGTGTAATGAATGAACGAAAAAACCGCATATCTATAGATAACCAAATATGTCCAAAAATCAATGTATACATATATGAAATTAAACATAGAACATAAAATATATGAAAGTGGCTAACTCCCACTAAACCAAAAATTCCTCAAACTGTAAAACACCTATGTGAGCAACATGCTCATGAAAGACCTTGGGCGGAAGTCCTTTAGTTAGAGGATATTCTATCATGGAGTTTGTCCTTAAGTGTTCTATGAAAATCTGTCCACTTTGTACTTTTTCCTTAACAATACAGTTGA